ATCTCCTTCAGTTCTGCTCTGATCTTAGAGTTATTTCTTGTCTTCTGCTAGCTTTTGAATTTATTTGCTCATGCTTCTGTAGTTCTTTTAATTTTGATGTTAGGGTGTCGATTTTAGATCTTTCCTGCTTTCTCTTGTGGGCATTTAGTGCTATAAATTTTCCTCTAAACACTGCTTTAAATGTTCCCAGAGATTCTGGTACATTGTGTCTTTGTTTTCATAGGTTTCAAAGAACATCTTCATTTCTGCCTTAATTTTATTTATCCAGTAGTCATTCAGGAGCAGATTTTTTCCATGTAGTTGGGCGATTTTGAGTGAGTTTCTTAATACTGAGTTCTAATTTGATTGCACTGTGGTCTGAGAGACTGTTAGGATTTCTGTTCTTTTGCATTTGCTGAGGAGTGTTTTAATTCCAATTATGTGGTCAATTTTAGAATAAGTACAGTGAGGTGCTGAGAAGAATGTATACTCTATTGATTTGGGGTGGAGAGTTCTGTAGATGTCTATTAGGTCCACTTGGTCCAGAGTTGAGTTCTACTCCTGAATATCCTTGTTAATTTTCTGTCTCATTGATCTAATGTTGACAGTGCATTGTTAAAGTCTCCCACTATTACTGTCTGGGAGTCTAAGTCTCTTTGTAGGTCTTTAAGTACTTGCTATGCCATAGTCCATCATGGCTTCCCTTGGGTAGGGAAGAGAATTCCCTGACCCCTTATGCTTCCCTGGTGAGAGCCCCACCCTGCTTTGGCTCGCCGTCCGTGGCTACACCCACTGTCCAACCAATCCCAATGAGATGAACTCGGTATCTCAGTTGGAAATGCAGAAATCACCCGCCTTCTGCATCAGTCTTACTGGGAGCTGCAGACCAGAGCTGTTCCTATTCAGACATCTTGCCAGCAATCTAAAATAATTTTATAGTGAATACTTGTATACTCAGCATTTAGATTCTGAAAACTGAGCAAGGAGCTTTCTTTTTTTATTTATTTTTTTGAGACAGAGTTTCACTCTTGTTGCCCAGGCTGGAGTGCAGTGGCACAATCTCAGCTCACCGCAACCTCCATCTCCAGGGTTCAAGCAATTCTCCTACCTCAGCCTCCCGAGTAGTTGGAATTACAGGTATGCGCCACCACACCTGGCTAATTTTGTATTTTTAGTAGAGACAGGGTTTCTCTGTGTTGGTCAGACTGGTCTCGAACTCCAGACCTCAGGTGTTCCACCCACCTCGGCCTCCCAAAGTCCTGGGATTACAGACGTGAGCCACTGTGCCTGGCCCACAGCTTTCTTCTTAAGAAGGTTTTTACTTGAAAATACAATTCTTTCGGCCGGGCGCGGTGGCTCAAGCCTGTAATCCCAGCACTTTGGGAGGCCGAGACGGGCGGATCACAAGGTCAGGAGATCGAGACCATCCTGGCTATCATGGTGAAACCCCGTCTCTACTAAAAATACAAAAAATTAGCCGGGCGTGGTGGTGGGCGCCTGTAGTCCCAGCTACTCGGGAGGCTGAGGCAGGAGAATGGTGTGAACCCGGGAGGCGGAGCTTGCAGTGAGCTGAGATCCGGCCACTGTACTCCAGCCTGGGCGGCAGAGCGAGACTCCTTCTCAAAAAAAAAAAAAAAAAAAAAGAAAGAAAATACAATTCTTTCATAGGTATAGGGCCATTCAGACTTTTTTTTTCCCGTCTTTTATCAGTTTTATAAGTTATCTTTGTAAGGAATTTGTCCATGTTATCTAAATTTTTGAATTCACTGTCACAAAGTTATCAGTAAAATTCACTTGTCCTAGGCTGGGCGCGGTAGCTCACACCTGTAATCCAAGCACTTTGGGAGGCTGAGGCAGGCGGATCATGAAGTCAGAAGTTCAAGACCAGCCTTGCCAACATAGTGAAACCCTGTCTTGACTAAAAATAAAAAAAATTAGCCAGGCATGGTGGCAGGCGCCTGTAATCCCAGCTACTTGGAAGGCTGAGGCAGGAGAATCGCTTGAACCCAGGAGGCGGAGGTTGCAGTGAGCTGAGATCATGCCATTGCACTCCAGCCCAGTGACAGTGTGAGACTCCATGTCAAAAAAAAAAAAAAAATTCACTTGTCCTTTAAATGTTTGGGGTTCTACAGTGATACACTGTACTTTTGTTCTGATGTGGGTTAATCTGTATTTTTATATTTATTATTTTTCCTTCTTGATCAACCAAATTTCATTAATTCTATCATTTGTTTTCTTTATTTTAATTCCTGTTTTTTTTTTTTTACTGTCTTTCTTTTACTGACTTTAGTTATAATTTGTTCTTTTTCCAGGTTCTTAAGAGACCTTTTCTAACATTAAGCATTTAAAGCTAAATTTCCTTCTAAGCATCACTTTTTCTAAGCATCTTCTTAGTGGTTAGATTATGTACTTCTTAATGCAAAGATTATAATCTTTCAAACATCATATCTTTGTTTTCCATCAGTTTAAAATGATTTATAATGTTCCTTGTATTCTTTGACCTGTGAATTATTTGGAAGTGTGTGTTTAGTTTCAAAATATTTGTGACTTCTAGGTATTTTATTTTTCTAATACCTGATTTCATTTAGTCAGAGAACATACTATGTAAACCTTAAATTTTGAAAGTTGAACTTATTTTATAGGCCAGTATATTATTTCACTTGATGAATGTTCCATGTACAGAATGTTGGCTGTAATGTTCTATAAATGTCATGTTTGAGTTAATTGTGCCAAGATAGTTGATAGTGTTTTTTCGACCTTCTACAGCTGTGATAGATGGAAAAAATGGTCCCTGCAAGATGTCCATGACCTAATTCTCAGAACTTGTGAATATGTTACCTTACATGGTGAAAAGAGTCTTTGTAGGTATTATTAAGTACCTTGAGATGATGGGTAGTTAATCCTGGATTATCTGTGTGGGCTCATTTTAATCAAAAGGGTTCTTACAAAACATGTGGCAAGGTCAAAAGCAGAAAAAAGAGATGAGACAGTGGAAGCAAAGGATGGAGAATGAAGTACACTGAAGATGGAGGAGGGCCTCAAGTCCAGAAACAGGCAGCCTCCAGAAGGAAGGCCAGTACCTTGATTTTAGCTTAATAAAACTGATTTCAAACTTTTGGCTTCTAAAACTGTGATAAAATAAGCCATGCAGTTTGTGGTAATTTGTTAAAGTAACTTCAGGAAACTTACAGAGAATTTGGTATTAGAAAGTATGGGGTGCTGCTGTAACCAATACCTAAAAATGTGAAAGTGGCTTTGGAGTAGGGTAATGCTTAGAGACTAGAAGAGTTTTGAGGAGCATGCTTTATAAAAAGGCTAGATTGCCTTGAACGGAATCTTAGTAGAAATTTGGAAGTTAAAGACTGCCCGTGGGGATTAAAAGGAAATGAGGAGCACAGTGGAGAAAACCTACCATAGACTTAATACCTAGATCATAGACAAACTTTTGGTAGAAATATAGACATTAAAAGCATTGTTGGTGAGGACTTGAAAGGAAGTGAGGAACATGTTATTGGAAACAGGAGGAAAGGGGATTTGTGTTATATAGTGGCAGGAAGTTTAGTTGCATCGTATCCTACAGTTATGTGGAAAGCAGAACTTGTAAACAATGAATTTGGATTTTGTTTGACTTATGAGATTTTTTTATTTCTTCTTTTATTTTTATTTTTTGGAGTCAAAGTCTGGCTCTGTTGCTCAGACTGGAGTGCAGTGGCACAATCTCAGCTCACTGCAACATCTGCCTCCTGGATTCAATCAATTCTCATGCCTTAGCCTCCTGAGTAGCTGGGATTATGGGGCGTGTGAGGTTTCTGAGCAAAGTGTTGAAGGTTTGGCCTGATTTCCTCTTGCTTCTTTTTACAATGTGAGAAAAAGAAAAACTGAAGAAGAAACTGTTTAGCAGAAAGGAATCAGGACTTAATGATTTAGACAATTCTCAACCTGTCCAGATTGCAGAAGACTCTAGGAGGCTCACTGTCAGAAGAGTATGCAGAGAAAGTCAAGATTTTGGCTGGACACCCTTTTGCTAGTGCCTTGGAAGGATCAAATGTCTCAGTATCCAGTCACATAGAGGGCTCTTTGAAAACACTAAGCATAGGACTCTGTTTCAGCAGGAAGTTCCCCTGTTTAGGTTTAGCGTGTAGATCCTGGCCTCTTCTTTTAAGCTGCGGTTTCAATGACAGTTTACTTTTCAGAGTTCTTACAGTGCCATACTGCTTAGCTTCATTCTTCTGGCTCCACGGGGTGTCCCATTTAGCCCCTGCAGGTGCCACCTCAATCCCCAGTGCTGTTGGGTGGGAAATTCAGGAAAAGTTGGCCTATGGTCACTACCACTGCAATGGATTGGGCCTGCCATTGCCCCAGATGTCAGATGAGCACCCAACTGATAGTGCTGCTGTGGTGAACTGGGCCCCCTGATCCTGCAAGTATAGAATTGGGAGGTTAGCCACCACTGCTACAGGTTTGGGGCAACAGACAGGTGCCCGGCTTCCATGGCACCCAGTACATTTTTGTTCATGCTGTCCCTTGATCCTTTTGAATTAATGTACATATATATTTACATATATATAAAATGCTGCAACTTCTCAACCAAAGCTGAGAACACTGAATGTTTCAGCTTCAAGTTTTAAATAAACTCAGCAATTGGAAGAGCAAGTTAGCAATCTGAGTTATTTTTAGTCTTATTAGAAGTATAACAAAAGTAAAATTTTCTTAAGTTATTAGTTCCTAAAACTTAGTCTAATAGGAATATAGTGTTGTCTAAGTACCTGAACATTTGTTTTTCCTTCTTTCCATCCAAGCTAGGAAGTTGATGTATACCATCATTTTTATTTCTTCGGAGTTTTAAAAACTTCATTTTGGCAGGCAAATCACAAATAATGGTTATCAGCCATCGAAATACATGTGATTTAACTTATGTTTTGCCATATGTATGCAAGAATACTTTGAAAATCCTTATTTTGTTTGGAAGGATACGATTGGTAAAATTCCCCTCAACTGCTTTTTTCTCACGTATTTAATAGGTTGCAAATTCAGAGGCTATGATTTTGGATAAGAATCTGGAGTCAGTTAATAGTCCAGTTGAAAGGTCTTCTGTGAATTATGAGCCTTCTAACCCTTCAGAAAAAGGAAGTAAAAAAATTAATTTGTCACCAGATCAAAATAAGTCTGTTTCTGAAAGGTAGGTGTTTCTGCAAACATGCATAAATTTATCTAAATCTATAATAATGAATTTTTTCTTCATCACAGTTTTGGATCTTTATAATATTGATTATTCTTAACACTGACTCTTAAAATGTCCTATAGTTTTACTTTTACATATTATACTTCAGTTGTGGGGTTTTTTTTGGTTTTAGGGTTTTGTGGGTGTTTTTGAGATAGGGTCTCACTTTGTTGCCCAGGTTGGAGTATAGTGGTACAATCAAGGCTCACTGCAGCCTTGACCTCCTGGGCTCAAGTGATCTTCCACCTCAGCCTCCCAGGTAACTGGGACTACAGGTGTGCAATCACCATACTGGGCTAATTTTTTGTATTTTTTGTAGGGGCAGGGCTTCACCATGTTGCCCAGGCTGGTCTGGAACTCCTGGGCTCAGGCAATCTGCCTGCCTCTGCCTCTGCCTCCCAGAGTGCTGGGATTACAGGCGTGAGTCACTGCACCTGGGCCTATACTTGAGTTTTTAAAAAGAGGAAAACATAAAATCAAAGATAAGTAGATGGAATGATGGCCATTGTTTGAAGAACACCCTTTCCCACAAATAACTATGCGTACACAAGGAGGCTCTAAAACAAAGGAGAAGCATTACAGATCTAAACCATTTATGTTTGTGTTGGGGGATTTAACATGCAGTTGTGACCCTTCAGGAGATGCCCTAATATTCTGTAATATTGGGCCCACATTTTGTTTTAAGCCAGGAAGCCTCTGTGAAGGAGGCATTTAGTTGATGAAGGCAAGAGCCACATTTCAGTGACACTTTGTAGTGTGACCCCTTATTGATGCATGTGCTGAAACTCAAGTAACAAAAAATAAAAAGTGGTAGTGATGGAAGTGAAAAATACACCATTAAAATAGCACTTTATAGAAAAATATATCCAATTTAGCAGTGGTTTGTGTCTGTTATATGAACAAATCTATCTCATGTTCTATTCTGAAGGAAGAACCCTGGGATTTATAAAACTGAGGCAGCACTCTCAGCCCATGGTGAATGTGCGGATAGGTGTAACAAATGTGTAACTTGATTCTGATGGCTTTAATGGTGAGTTTTATAAAATATTTAAGCAAGAAATAACACCAACTTTAAGCAAATTCTTCCAAAGAATAGGAAAAAAGGGAACGTACTTCAGCTCATTTTATGAGACTAGCATAACCCTAATACTATTATAAAATCAATTTTAAAATTTTACAGAAATGGAAAATTACAGCCTGCTTTAAACCACAAAATAGATGCAGGTGTCCTAAACAAGATAACTAGTAAACCAAGTTGAATAGTCTACAAAAGTTGAGTTTGACTCAAGAGTATGGGAACCTTGGTTTAACAATTAAACATCAGTTCATGTGGCTGGGCGTGGTGGCTCATGCCTGTAATCCCAGCACTTTGGGAGGCTGAGGCAGGTGGATCACTTGAGGTCAGGAGTTTGAGACCAGCCTGACCAACATGGTGAAACTGCATCTACTAAAAAAAAAATTAAAAATTAAAAAATTGGCCAGGCACGGTGGCTCATGCCTGTAATCCCAGCTCTTTGGGAGGCCGAGGCGGGCAGACCACCTGAGGTCGGGAGTTCAAGACTAGCCTGACCAACATGGAGAAACCCTGTCTCTACTAAAAATACAAAATTAGGCCGGGTGCAGTGGCTCACGCCTGTAATCCCAGCACTTCAGGAGGCCAAGGTGGGTGGATCACGAGGTCAGGAGATCGAGACCATCCTGGCTAACACGGTGAAACCCCGTCTCTACTAAAAATACAAAAAATTAGCCAGGCATGGTGGTGGGCACCTATAGTCCCAGCTACTTGGGAGGCTGAGGCAGGAGAATGGCATGAACCTGGGAGGCGGAGCTTGCAGTGAGCCGGGATCGTGCCACTGCGCTCCAGCCTGGGCAACAGAGCTAGACTCCATCTCAAAAAGAAAAAAAAAATACAAAATTAGCTGGGCATGGTGGTGCATGCCTGTAATCCCAGCTACTCGGGAGGCTGACGCAGGAGAATTGCTTGAACCCAGGAGGCAGAGGTTGCAGTAAACTAAGATCACACCATTGCACTCCAGCCTGAGCAACAAGAGCAAAACTCTATCTCAAAGAAAAAAGCCGGGCATGGTAGCACGAACCTGCAGTCCCAGCTACTCGGCAGGCTGATGCAGGAGAATCGCTTGAACCCGGGAGGCAGAGGTTGCAGTGAGCTGAGATCACACCACTGCACTCCAGCCTGGGCAACAGAGTAAGACTGTGTCTCAAAAAATAAAATAAATAATGTGATTTGCCTGGAGAAAAACCATTATCAACTCACAACTCACTATAGATAGAGAACTTGATAAAATACCCATTTATGATTGAAATAAATTCTTGGCAAATTCAGAATAAGAGGTAACTTCTTTAATCTGACAAAAATTATCTACAAAAACCCTAACACAAATCTGATGGTGAAACATTGGAAGTGTTCCTTGGAGATACAAAAGAAAGACGCCTGCTGTCACCATTTTATATAACATACTGAATGTCTTAGCTAATGCAAGAATGCCAAAAAATCAGGGGAAAAAGAAAAATAGAAAGTATAGTATAGAAGGAACAATATTATTACTATTTTTGGGTGATTGGGGTGTGTATGTATGAAATCCAGTGAAGCCTACAGATTATTAAAATTAATAAGAGTAGAAGAAGATTGCTGAATTCGAATAAGAAATCTTTTGTATTCCTGTTGGGAATACAAGATAGAAACAATTAGGAAATAAAATTTTGGAAAAGCTGTAATACCATTATAGAAGCCCCAAAACATATCAGGTACCTGGGAATACATTTAAGAAGACAAACAATAGCTGAAGAAAACATAAAATGTTAGATATTAAAGAAAAATCAATTAAAAAGATATACTATATGATGTGGACAAAGGAGTATTATGTTTATAGAGTACAATTTCAGTCAGTATCTCAGTGTGTACTTTTATAGAACTTAACGTGATTCTAAAATGCAATGGGTTCAGAGCTCGAGATACTCTTTAATTAGAGAAACAAAATGGAAGGAATTTGCCATCAGATGTTAGGATATTACAAAGCTACAGTAATAGCAGAGTATGAGATGGGCATGTGCTGGACAAGTAGATCAGTGTAACAGTAGAGAGTCCAGAAACCCATGTATGTATGTACGTGTGATATGTGGTGGAGACTGTGTGGCAGTCAATCATTTGGGAAATGATTGACTTTTAGTAAATGGTATCATCTCGTTTGGCTGTTTATGTTGGGGGAAATAAGAAATTGGACCCCTATGTAAAGCTATAAAAACAAACTCATGTGGATTAAGGAACTAAAAATATCTAAAGGAAATTATAAAGCTTTTAGAATATGTATTATAAAGCTTTAGAATATTAGAATTATATTAGAATAGAATATTAGAATATTATAATTATAGAACTTTTAGAATATATAATGTCTTCATGAACTTGGGTAGGGAAAGATTTCTTAAGACATAAATGCCCTTGCCATAAAGGAAAAATGGATTAATTTTACTACATTAAAATTAGAAACTTCTTTTCTCAAAAGGCACTATAAAGATAGTGAGAAGACAGGCCATCCGAGTTGGAGAAGATACTCGCAGCACATATAACCTGTAGAGGACTAGTACGCAGAATATATATAAAGAACTTCACCAAGTCAATGAGTAAAAGCCAAATAATACAAAAGAAAAATGGGCAAAAGACTTGTGCATCCACTTCACAAAAGAGGAGTTCGAAATGGCCAATAAACATATGAAAAGGTGTTCATCTTCATTAGTAATCAGGGAAATGCAAATTAAAACCACAATGAGATAACATTTCATATCAGGTAAGGAAAAAATACATTTAAAAATCTGACTACTGGGTATTGATGAGGTTTTGAAATAAAGGAAGTTGTATTTAATATTTTGTTGTTGGGTGAGTAAATTGGTATAGTAGTCCAAAAGAAAATTGGCATTATCTGGAAATATCAAAGATATGAATAGCCTTTGACCTGGCAGTCCCATCTCTTGATATTCCCTAGTTAGAGGTATGCCTATTGCATGCTGATATGCCATAGAATATATGTATAGGAATGTTTATTAGCAGCATTTTTTATAATGGCCAAAAACTGAAAGCAAAGTGTCCATCTACAGTTGAAAAGGAAATTACAGTAAATCTATACAGTGGAATGTTGCACATGAATGAGAATGAAGGAACTGCAGTCACATGCAACAGTATGGATTATTCCCACAAAGTATGATTGGAAAGCAGACACAAAAGACCTGTATGATTCCATTTAAATGAAGTTCAAAAATAGCCATAAAACAAACTGTATGATTCAGGGATTCTAAGCTGCATAGTAAATCTAGAGAGTAAAACAAGGAGATTAGTACCACATATGCCATTTATGGTGAGGAAGTTTATGATACAGGATAGAGGCATATGGATTTCTGAAGTGCCGATAATTTAAAATTTACTTACCTGAATATGGCTGCATGGACACTAGCATTGTATTTAATCAGCAAAGTGATGTATGCTTAGTGTAATCTGACTGATGTGTGTGGATTTATAATTACAATCTTACTATCTGTTTTCTATTTGCCCAGTTTTATGGTCCTTTTCCTATGTATCTGTCTCTCTGTTTTAGCCATCTTTTGAATTAATCTTTTTTTCCATTCCCCATTACCTTGTTAATTTTACCGTTTTCATTATTCCTTTAGAAGTTATCCTAATGATATGTATTCTTTACTCATTGGAGTACTACTTCTGCTCTTTTATAGACTATGCTTGATCTTAGAATACTTCAGCTTTGTTTACTGTTTTCCCCATCTTATGTGTTTTTGTGCACTTCAATTTTACATTAAGTCCCAGAGGATGACTACTATGTACCATCATTGTTTAGAGTTACCCACATATTTTTGTTTTCTCTTGCCCATTTCTTCCTGTAGTTTCATCTTTCCATCTGGGCTCTTTTTTTTTTTTTTTTTCCACATGAAGATCT